GTTCCCTTTGCTGGAAGCGTTTAATCAGCAGCCAGAAGTGTTAAGTTCAGCAGTACTAACAGGGAACTTTTGTCACGTGACGTTTTAAAGTTTGTTTTTCTCCAGAACATTAATGATCGAGAGCACAGATTACTGGCAACAGTTCATTAAAGTCAGAAAAAGCTTTTAGATGTTCCTCTGTAAACTCATTAATTTACATGGTTTGACTTTGATCGCATAATGTGATTAAAGTCATTAATGTGATTAAAATCCTCGGACACTTCTGCCCAGTAAGCATGGTTTTGGTCATTTGCGGGTCAAAAGACAGACATCTGATTGAAAGGTATTTCAGTGAGTATATTACTATATGTCACTGAAGTACAGCTCCTCTTCTTCATGGACTAAACATACAACTTTATACAGCAACATAGAGTTTAACATGTTAAAACAACACCGTTTAAACAATCTTTAATCGGGTTTAGATGCCTTTTGACCTGCAATTCAACAAATCACTTCTTCGCAGTGTAATTACAATGAATTGATCAGATTGAAGATGCTGGTCATGTTCGACACATCTGTTAACAGCTGCCTAAATACAGTATATTATCGTTTACACTCATTGTTTTAGCCCTGGCCCGACTTTTCTAAACACTGAGTCACTGTATCCTATTAGGCTGCTGCCTGACAGGGACAATGACGAGGCCTCTGGTCTGTCAGTAGTAGCCTTATGTTTTCTAGATTTTATAAAACATTAACTGAAGTAAACAGAGTGAAGTCTGGGAGAGGGGAATTACTATATGTCACTGAAGTACAACAGCTCCTCTTCTTCATGGACTAAACATTACTAACAGATGCCTTGCAGCCAAAATGTGTGTGCCATCTTCCCAGTGAAGCCATGCTGCCAGCCTGGAGGATGTACCTCGACAGCAGACGGAGACGTTGCTGGCGAGGAGGCGGTGTGTCAGTAGCAGACCTCTTCCTATGAGACTGACGTCTGAACTCAGCTTCCTGCCAGCACACAGGACCTGAGACATAAAATAATTCCCAGTGTATCCATGTTTGCCAGGACTGTAGTGCTGTTTCACATCTGTTATTACAGATTTTTCATTTGTTAACACACAATTTTGACAACAGGACTCTGTGTCAGTCACAACATCAAATTAGCAAGCAATAACAAAAAATAACTTCTACTGAAAAATCGTATCTGTGTATTTTCACCTTTCCATCTATGACTAATAATAATGATAATTACCTTAAAATTAATAGAACACATTAGTTTAACCCATGGTACATTTAAATAAGTGATTTCAAAGTAATTTAACAGCCACCACCTTGGAATTCCACTGGTGTCCAGAGCTGACCTGCTGGTCTGGCGTTAAGCCCTTTTAGCGGGACTGGCTCAGCTGCCTTCACTGTCCCTGACTGGATTTAGCTTCTGCCCCATTTATGTGAGCTAACAAGATAAACTAGACCACCATATGTTTTTAACAGTTAGGGAACTTTATTCAAGGTTAGCTGTGGCTCGTTCCAGCTACTCCTAAGGGTTTAACACTGTAGCTGATCTTTTTTTAAGCTGTTTTGTTGAATTGTAAGTGCACTTAGCATGCAGTCATGTCTTTGGATTAATATGTTTATATGGCTTAAAACATGTTATGGCAGAATACATCAGATTATGGTGTTAACTGTGTAGTGACTGTAATTTGGCTCTGTAGGCCACCGTAGTTTGCTTGACAGCACTGTAGAAGTTTTATATCCTCAACTTGGGGGGTGAAGTGCATATTTTTTCCACCTGACCTGAACGCAGCTATGGCCTTCACATAGCTTGTCTCAGAGAATGTTCCTGCACTATCTGACTTGCTATTTGCTGAGAGCAGGTTTGGAGATTCCAGGCAGTGTTTTCATATTTGAGGCTATTTTTTTTTTAATCGCAGACATGCCTGTCAGCGTCATGACCACGACACGTCTTCTAGCTGCTCTGCGTTGGAATCCAGCCGTCGACATTTTGAAATCTCATTCATAGCTGTGTTTCTGCTTGCCTGGAAAGGGTGTGTAGCCTTGATAAAAGAGCCATTAGTTAGTTCTTTATGGCCTTTCACTGCTGCACTGTGAACTGAAAGGGGGGGCTTGTTCCTAGCTGGCAGGTCCAGGCCCTCCACCATTTGTCGGTCACCTCAGCCTCAATAGCCAGCCTGTCTGGAGACCCCATGTCATGACTTCCTGGGAGGGAAGTTGTTTCAGCTGGCCTGTGCGCTGCAAAGTGTGAGTGTGAGTGTGTTTTAATGTGTCTGTATGAGGAGCAGATATCTTAACAAGAACTAAAATATTAGAAAAATCCTTTAAAATCAGGCTTTATTTCAGGACTGGGACCTGGGTTTAGTGTTAAGATTAGTTCTTATTTGACAGGACAGTCAGAGAAGGTCCTCCCTCAGATGTGCACGTATGTATGGGGGCGGGCGGTCTGTAGGAAGAAAGGAATCTTTTAGTCTTATTCAGTTAACCCTGTTGTTGCCTGACAAAGACCCTACTTACAGAAGAGTGGGAGTGTTTTCTTAGCAGATGAGAAGAGAGAGGGGGAGAAACTGTGTTTTTGAAAAGGCCATGTTTGACTTGACACAAAGTCCTCACAGCCAGTGATAAAGTGATCATAATCAGAGCTGAAGATCTTAATAAAGCGGGAAGAGCTTTTGATTATCAATAGGAGACAACATATGGCTTTGAGCTGTGGATGTGAACTTTTTACAGTTGATGCAGGCCCACATTAGTCCAGAGACCTTTCTGATCTTTCTGATCTTTACTCAATGATACAATCTAGTCAGAAAAGGCTCACATGTGGCATAAGCAAAGCAGAAATAAAGAAGTAGCTTTGCACACAGTAGTACTCAGTAAGATTTATTTCTAGAGCACATTTAAATACATTTTACACTGGCCAAAGTGCTTTACAAAGAACATAAAGCATAAAGCATACATGGATGGACTTGCACCAACAAAACTGATGCATACTCAGAGCCACAGTGACGGCAGCAAGCCACAAGCACATGATGTCATCTCACATAGTAATAAAAACTCCACCTTAAAAGTCTGATCCTACTGTGCAGCTGCAGCCGACGGGTTTCAGTAGTCTGATATTTAAAAGATAAAGGTCATGTTTCCGCCTCTTCATGGTGCAGCTACAAGGCAGAATAGGTTGTGGGTCGGGGAGCGGCGCCATCATGGACTCGCTCTGTGTTCACTAACGCGTTGTTGAGCCATGGAGCTGCTATTCTATGTCCACCTACTGCCTGTGATGTAAAGCCACAAGCTCATGCCCGCTTTCTTTTTAAGCCTTTTTAGGAAGTGATGTGGAAGCAGGTGAGTCAGGTTGACTTGGAGTGAGTTCACTGAAAATGTTACTAGTACTCCTTTTAAATGAACACTGAACAGTTCAATATTGGTGTAAAAGGAGAAGCCTGGACTATTTTTTTTTTCCCTTCTTTGAACTAGCTTTACTCTTCGGGACAAAACAACACTGTGATAAAGTGGCCTCAGTGTGGGAGCTCAGCACGTGTCCTCTGTGGCCCAGGACTAACACGGGCTAACGGCAGGAATGTGACTCTGTGATGTGACCTTGTAAAAATGAAATGTCACACATGAGGAATGCTGTGAACTCAGTGATCAGGAGGAGAGGTTACCATGGGCCAGGTTCACTGTTTGTTGCTTTAGACCTTTCTGTATGGACAGGATGATGTGCGGCGTTGTTGTGTTGTATGGATAAACACAGGAAGAAATGCACAAAGCATGAGGGCGAGTTGTGCTGTATCTGACTTGCATGATGTGGCATAGCTCTGTGCAGAAATGAAAGACCTTAATTGCCTGTATTCTGCCACATGTTGAGCTTCGACTTGGGAAACATTTTCCTTCTGATGCATATACACCAGTTTGATCTTTTTACTGTGATTTTAAACTGAGTTTCATCCAAAGCTTAATAACTGCTGATGCTCCCTGGGGGCTCCTCCTTTGTGATAACTGCAGATGAGTCAGTCAGTGGTTGAACAGGAATTCAAACGGTCCTCTCGCTGATGTTTGTTCTATGTCAGCTACAGTTCCCTAAAAGTGAAGAGCTGCCTGCTTTTGATTCTGGCACAGTTTCAGTCATCATCTTTCAGATAACTTGTGGTCAGCGTTATATTTAATACCGAGTAACTGCTGTCCCAGCTGCACTTTATTTTAAATATACTCACCATACAGATAAATTGTGATTGATAACTTTACTGTGCTCAGGTCTTTAGTGAGTTAAAAAAAAGTCAATTAGATGATGGTGCCAGAAGAAAATGCCATGTTGTTACCTAAACCAGAAATGTTCATCATCTGTAAAGTGGTCATTTTGTAGCATCCATCCCAGAGAACAGGTGAGGACTGTGGGTGTTGTCATCATGAACTGTGGCATTGGCCAGCTGGTGAAGCTACAGGATATCACTGACATCATTAGGATTAAAATGAACCGTTGCTTGAAGGAGACTGCAGATGTGTTTGTGTCTGCGTTTCTCTCTGGAATCTGGCATCTCCACTTCTCTGGTGGCATTTGATGACTTAAATAATCCTACTATCGATTGGCCAAAGGAATGAATGCACCATTCAGAAATCGGTCAACTTGATCAAGAAAAAGTGCTTCAGACAGCTTCTTAATTAGGCTGCTGCTATGATGGAGACAAATCACTTTAAACAAACATAAAGCAACCCCTCTTTTCAAACTAACTACACCTAAAAACAGTACTGTCAGGTGGTTTCATATGGTGTAGGCCTCTGCTTTGTCATTTCTAGAACTTCTTTGACTACACTCTACACTTGTGTGCCTTTTGTGCAGTAATGTTTTGAGCTCATCCTCTTAAAAATGTGCATGACCATGGAACACTGCATCACATTGCAGGCACTCTCTGAGGTACTGTACAGCAGCAGTTGTCCCTGTGGAGAAGCCAAGTATGAATGTATGTTTTGTCTGTGATTGCTGTAATATGTGGTGTGTGTCTGCTGTGCTCTCCCTGCAGATGGATGGAGGCCTGTCTTGGCGAGGAGCTGCCTCCCACCACAGAGCTGGAGGAGGGGCTGAGGAACGGCGTCTATCTGGCCAAACTGGGCAACTTCTTCGCCCCAAACACCGTATCCCTCAAGAAGATCTACGACCGTGAGCAGACGCGCTACAAGGTGAAGAGATGATGATCTTATAAATATTAATAAATCGTAAAAATTTCACCCCAGTCACTAAAGCCAGGCACTGAGAGTGGCAGTTGGAGGAAGGATTCACTTTAGTTTGCATTTTCACGTTACATAATGTGTTTGAACAAAAAAAAAAAAAAGATGATTAAACAAGCAAGTCAAGCTAAAACAGTAAAGTAATTAAACCCAGATTAATCCTCTGGGGCAGAAAAGCAGGACGTCTCTATCAAGTGCTTTGAAGAATTTATACGACCTAAACAGTGTTTTGAAGACAAATATGACTTAGTTTTGGAGCCAGGTTGCTATTGTGTGACCACAAAACGTGTTTCCACCATTTTTGGAGCTGTAAAAACAAGATCCTGTATGAAATCTAACTAAAGAGAGAGACCTGTGGTTCTAAAAGCTGCAGATAACTCGATGCATGTGTGCTTTTAAAATCTAGTGTCGCAGTCGACGTGTATTTCCCTGCTTTGTGTTGGTAACTGGCTGAAGCTGCTGGTTGAATGGGGCCTTGTTTTACAGTTCCCTGTTGTCTGTGTGACTGAGACTGGAGTCTTTGAGATGCCAGTGGATAACGTGTCTGTTGTGCCCTGACATTTGGTTTCTCCCTTGCAGGCGACAGGTCTCCATTTCAGACACACAGACAATGTCATTCAGTGGCTCAACGCCATGGCAGAGAAGGGACTGCCAAAGGTAAGTGTGGCTCCAGCCGCTGTCTCACACACACTGACGAGATCTTTCACTTGCAAATCTGCCTCCAGTTGAAAGTAGGGTCAGACCAGCGCTGAGCTTTATTTTATTAAATATCAGGTATTGGTCAAAGGTTCCTCCTCATCCAGTCTGGACCACAGGCAATAAAATGCTGCATGTGTATTAATTAATGACTTTGTCAGTCCTGCCTCAGCACTAAATGAATGTGGTGTGAGTCTCCCTGCCTTAATTCATTCTACTGGTTTTGCACAAATGAGGCCATTAACCCCAAACTGTCTTCATGTAATGCTAACACTGAATAACATCCACAGCAGATGATTTGGTTTTAGTTTCCTGCCTCCAGCGCATCAGTGGTGCCAGTTCACTTCAGCACCACATGAAAATGACCTTGCAAAGCCTTGAAATCTTCTGAAGATAATGTGAATAGTTGGTGTCTTAGCCCCGCCATTTTAGGATGCAAGGAGAGAGGAAGCTAGGAAACATGATTTAACTGACATGAGATGTCCTTTACTCCGATCCTTCATGTGAAGCATCCAATCACAAACCGATTTCCAGTAAAGGGGCATGTCACTCTGCAACAGGCATCTGCGAAGGATGCACTCGTACCCTCAGTCAGAGCTCTGCCAGGCAGCCTCCTTGGTCCTCAGAGCAGAAATAAAAGCTTTGGAACGTCTTTCATAGCGGACCGAAACAACTTCTGGGACGAGCGAGGAGTGATAAAATAAGGGAAATGGGATTCACCTATGGTGTATGTTTTGGGGAAAGGTCAGATTTGCAAACTGTGCATGTTTTGTAGATAATATGCAGAAATTGTCTTTTTTTTAAAAACTATTCACTCTAGAAGAATTAAACAGTGGTTGACTCTGGGAATCTCCAAAATGTCATTAGCTGCATTCAAAAGGTTTCAGCACAATTGTACCACAAAGACAATAGCAGGGCATGTGTATGCATGTTTCCATGGTGCAATCCCCCATAACTCCTGTGTACATGCTGCGACACGCTGACATGCCATCACAGACCTGCTGAAAGTTCCATTCTGATTGACTCTTTGCTCCTGTTTCAGATCTTCTACCCTGAAACCACAGACATCTACGACAGAAAGAATATGCCACGCTGCATCTACTGCATACACGCGCTCAGGTACTGGGTCTGATTATACACTCGGGCCTCAGCTGTGTGGCCCTGTAACATGCATCTGTAGTAATTCATTGAAGTACTGAAGTCAAATTACTCCAGACACTTGTATATCCCCTGTGGTTCGTACACATTCTGTGACATTCAGTGGCACAAGGTATGAAACACTTGGGTTTTGGATGGAGTCAGGAACTGACCAGCAGATGGGAGGGTGGCGTTAATGTTTTCTGCCTCAATATCCCTGCTCCAGCCTGCACTCCTGAAGCAGAAGCATGCACTTTGACAGTGTTCATTAAAAGACCTGTGTAAATGTGCTTTGTCCAGCTGGTGCTGTGATGCTAGAATTCAATATGTGGACAGCATCAAAGCAAAACATTTTGCACATAATTTATGGCTTTCAGGTCCAGACATGATGCCCTGTTTGACTGAAATGCTCTGTTACTCCTCTGTTTTTCCTGTCCTCCTCTGCCCCCTTGATCACCATCTTCACACTGAAATTAACTTTGCTACCTGTGCTCTTATTAGATGCACACTATAGAACGTTATTTCTGAAGATTTACTCCCTGGAAAGTTTTATTGGTTAACGTCACCATGAACGATCTGTCTCTCAGTAATCTGCAGCTTTATGACAGCAAAGCAGGCAGCATGGTACACTGCTGAAATGTCTGTTTCTGTGCTCTAAAATGACAGGCTTGTATTTTGTTTGTTTGCTCTGCTGGCCTTAGAATCCCTATTACTCCCAGAAGTTTATTCTTCCTACTGAATTTGTAGTGCAGGTGACGGTATGTCCTGTTTTGCTGTAGTATTCCAGTTGTTGTGTGACATTTCACCTCTGCTGCTGTGTGCTCTGTCACGGTTCCTGTTTCACAGCCTGTACCTGTTCAAGCTGGGCCTGGCCCCTCAGATCCAGGATCTGTATGGAAAAGTGGATTTCACCGGTAAGAACTTGTGCATCTGTTTTCATTTTTCTGTACCTGTTGGCATCTCGAAACCAGAGCATTTTAAATGTCGCCATGTTGTCAAAGTTGACATGAAGCTTAAAATGTTCCTGAATTTCTCCGCACCCTGACAAATTTACAGCAGCGCTGTAAGTGCTCAGAGTAAAAAGAAAGGAGGTTCCTTCCCAGCGAGTTGCTGGAAATGTGAAAGCCATTAGTAACTGTGAGAGTTCTCCCAGTCAGTTGAGTTCCTGCTCAGCTCACGCTCCCAGAGTCAGAAATATGATTATCACATATGAGCCAGGAACAATCTGTCTCCCCAGTCCCTCTGTTCCCTAACCCAGCCACCACCTGCTCCTCCTCCCCTCGGTTTTCTTCTTTTCACCTCAAACCGTGTTTCACCTGTTCTGTCCTCTCTCCCCCAGAGGAGGAGATCAATAACATGAAGAGTGAGCTGGAAAAGTATGGAATCCAGATGCCCGCCTTCAGCAAGATTGGCGGGATCCTGGCCAATGAGCTCTCAGTGGATGAAGCTGCATGTGAGAGGGGCTCTGATGTCATGGGGGGAGGGTGGGATCTGATAACTGGACATGATATCGTTTACTTCATAGTGAAATGGATAGAAAATCTGTTTGAATTAGGAGCTTGCTGTAATTCAGCCATATTTTTGAATTTTCAGTTTTTACTGTACCCACAGTAACAAACCCCTTCCCCCTATTTTACTGTATCACTGACACGAGCAAAGACTTGTCATTTCTTTTTGTGCACAGGTCCAACTTTAATTGGTCGATTTATTTCTCAGAATCAACTGAGAATCGACCAAAACATTGACAAGAAAGACACTCTCATGTCTGTCTCATTAAATATAGAACTACAACCACATATTTCCTAAAATGTAAAACTATTCAAATGTTAGTAAATACAATATGATAAAACATTGATTCCTATTTAAGATCAGCCATCAGTAAGATCCTGTGAAACCACATGAAGCCCGCTCCTCACCAGTCCTCTCCTCCATCCTCAGTACATGCTGCTGTGATCGCCATCAACGAAGCCATCGACCATGGCATACCAGAGGGCACGTTGGCTGCCATGCAGAACCCCAACGCCATGCTGGTCAACCTGGATGCCACCTCTGCCCACCTGTACCATGACACACTGTACCAAGCCAAGGGAAAGAAGGTGGCCAACTCACGCAAACGGGTACGACGTTTTAGCGCAGTGAACGGTGTGGCAGAAGTGATTGGTCATCCGGGACATGTTGGAACAGAAAATGCCAGTTAAAAACTGGGAGGGTTCATGGGAGTTGGTGTCAGGTTTTTAATTAGAAAATAAGTGACCATACAACGTGAAGCATCAGAAGCTTTTGGCATCAGTCAGGGTAAAATGCTGGGGCTACACAAACCTGGACCAATAAAAATTTAATCACAACAGTGAAGAAGAAGATGGACTGGCTGGCGACACGAGAGGTGAATAAAATCACTCTAGCCTCTCTTGACAGGTCTGCCACTGTTTGTCTTACAGAAATGAATATAGCATGTGTGATGTGTTAGGATTTAAACTGTAAAACATTTAATGGGCAAAGCAGATAAATGACTCAAATTACCGCCAAAATGAGAACAACACAACAAAATTCCCTTTAAGAAGGCTATCAGCAATGTCAATGTGTAACACTGGTTTTGTCTCTGTGCTTCAACAGCAGATGGAGAACGCTGAGGCAGAGAGAGACATCTATGATGAGCTTCTCACCCAGGCTGAAATCCAGGGCAACGTCAACCAGGTCAACTGTAAGTCACAGCAACACACACATTCCTTTACTGACTTGGTCATTTCTCTTGGTTGCCATGGTACGGTAGTAAAGTGTCAACCTTTCTACAACAGTGAGCAATGCCTTGGGTGCAGCTGATAAGGCTCTGCTGGGTGGTGATGAGGAGAAGTTATACGGGGCTCTGAAGGCCATGAGCACCCAGAACCTGCAGGCCCAGAACAAAGGCTGGTACCTGAAACAGCTGCAGGGAGACCGTGAAAATAAAGAGCAGGTAGAGATTGGTGTGCAAACAAAGCTGTATGAACGCCTGCCTCTCAGTCTCTCCGTTATAATCTCACTCAGATTTTGTTCCTATCAGATGTCTCCTGGAGAAGCTCTGACTAAGGATGAGTTGCAGAGCGGCGTGGACGTGGCCAATGCAGTTGCAGAAGGCTACTCAAAGAGTACGCATATCACACATACATGCCAAAATTTGGTCTTATTAGTTCTCCAAACCATGATCTCCTTCCTCCATCTGTTTCTTTTTCCTGTAATTCAGCCTCTGTTGTTAATCGTCACTATGTTTATAGTGTTGAAGGCAGTGGAACGCATCAACGCTGCCGTCAGAGCAGGCGTGCCAGAGAACACGGTGGAAGAGTTGATGAACCCTGACGCTCAGCTGCCCGAGGTCTACCCCAACGCTGCAGACCTCTACCAGAGAGAACTAGCCAGCCTGCAACAGCAGAGCCCAGAGGTGCTCACGACGACACACACACCCAAAAGAATATACACACAGATATGTTGAATTTAATTCAATTCAGTTCAATTTGTATAGCACGAAATCACAACAGAAGTCATCTCATTACGTATATATATTACGTGTAGAAACATTTTGACACCCAGCTATCCCTGCTCTCAGCCAGCTACACACCAGTTTTCTAATTTCACTGTGGAATTACAAAACCAGACAACATCAACATCCTCTGACGTTTAATGTTTGCCTCTGGTAGTTGTCAGTGGCAGTTTGACATATGAGGTCAATTTCTGGCTTGTGTCCCGCAGGGCTCTCTGTCCCACCCCGAGCTGCTGGTTGCTGTGGAGATGCTGTCAGCGGTGGTGCTGATGAACGAGGCGATGGACGTCGGAGACCGAGCCGCCCTCTGGAAGCAGCTGTCCAGCCCTGTCACTGGGCTCAGTAATGTGGAGGATGAATATGCACAGAGGTGAGCACACACACAGCGCCAAAGACACGTTGCCTACTACTGACTTCAGATTACACGATTTAAGCCCGGGAACAGCCCAGCCTGATGGTCATAGGACATCAGGATCCAAAAGAAGTGTCAGATCCAACAACCGATTGTTTTGTCTCGTATTAAGCTACAATGATGCAGCATCTGGGACGCCTCACGATAACACAACACAAAATCTAATGTCAGATTTTTTTTTTTCTTCTCTGATTTGTTGTTCTGTGTTTACGTTCTCCCAGCACCGCCTGCACACAAGCTGTGAAAGACGGCCGTGGGCATCTTATCAGACAAAACAATTGCATAGCCTGGACCCAGTATTAGTGATGTCTGAGGTGTTGTGTTCTCTGAATGGACTGATGCAGCCTGTTGATATGCTCCTCAGGTACATGGATGAACTGATGCGTCTTAAGGCAGCAGCCAGAGCGGAAGGCAACGACTACCTGACCTGGAATGACATTCAGGCCTGTATTGACCAGGTCAACCTGGCTGTACATGAGGAGCATGAACGTAAGAATCAAACATGCTCATGTTCTTTTACACCCAACATCTTTAGTCAGTGTCCAATCCCCAAAACAATCCATGGATAATAACACCTTTACATTGACTCCAAACCACAGATAAATCTACAAAGACAACATTACAATTCAGATTCTGCATCAAGTCAGAACTAACTGAGCTCCCTCATTAGCTGGAGACTCATCGTAAACCCATTGGTCTGTCTGAACGTGTATATGCAGGTATCGCTGCCATCGGACTGATCAACGAGGCCCTGGATGAAGGGGATCCCATGAAGACACTGACCGCACTGCAGAACCCCTCAGCCAAGCTCACAGACGTGGACCCGCCCGTAGCTCAGCATTACCACGATAAGCTGCTGGAGGCCCGCAGAGAGAAGGCTCACGTAAGACACGCACACACCTGTTTCTGACAGAGCCTGCCTGTCTGCCAGCTGCTGTAGAACAGTGAATGTAGAAAATAGAGGATCACGTTATGATTTACAGAGAAGTATGAGAGTTGAGGTCAGCCCGATTACTCTCTGTGTCCTGGTCTCTGCCTGTGCTGATTTGCTTGTTTAAGTGAGTCTAGTACTCAGGTGAGCATTATGCAAACACTTGATGCAAACAGCGCCAGGCTACAGTTACACTGACTTCTGACAGACCTCTTGCTGCAGCTCAGGGTTATGAACAGTTCACCTGAGCTTATGATACAAAAGTAATGAGTGTTGTCATTGAAGGTGTTGGCCTGGAGTCTGTTTCCTTCCGTGAGGTTCCTAAGATAAAATAATAAAATAAATTGAGCTTAGATGTGTGCTTCCAAAACACTGTACAGAGCCAAAGTATCAGGTGTCAAGTATGCTTATCTGGGTTCAGGAGTTTTTATTTATTTATTTTTTTTATGATGCTTCACAGTTGGGGCCAATTTTCATATTGTTGCTTCTAACTTCATACACAGTGGCTACAATTCTTGGATTAAAAATTGCAAGGTAACATCCCGAAAAGACTGGCCACACACTAAAGTCTGACCTGGATCCAAGTTATATTCTGGATCTACGGATCCGGGGGGATGTTCACATTTACAGGGCTCATGGAAAACTCACTACTGTGACACAACACATAATGATACAGTATCCAAGTACATTAGCTCAAGTACTGTACTTAAGTATAATTTTGAGGTATTTGTACTTGACTTGTGCTTATTTGTGCAGTTGCATATGTCACTACATTTGAGCCAAATATTATTTTTTTTACTCCACTACATTTTATAACTTTTGTTACTTTTCAGGCTCAGATTAATTAAAATAAAAAGCAATATACTCATCAGACTGTACTGATCATGATGGAAAATTCAGACTACCCAGCAGTAATCTAAAGTATAAATATAATCTAGTTGAAACTAGCTCCCCCTTTACCGGCTGCAACATTAAATGTGATGTGCACAAAATGCATCATTCATTATAATCCAGTAATATCATATGCATTAATGTTAAATGTGCCCTTCTGCATGATGAGTACTTGTAGTACATTATGTCTTGATACTAATACTTTTCTTGTTTACTTAAATAACATTTAGAATCCAGCACAGAGTATTTTTACACTGTTGTATTGCTACTTTTACTTAAACAATCTGCGTACTATTTCCACCACTGCCTGAATGCAGAGTTTCATGTGTTAAGTCAGTGTAACGCCCAGAGGCTGTTCAGATGCATTAGTGTGTATGCGCGGTCGTAGCTCCGAGCCAGAGCCAGAGTTGCAGATGCTCCATGTGACTCAGGCCTGTGAGTCTCATGTGACTCGACCAGACTGCTGATGTCATGGTGTGATCATCTTTTCTCCCACTCACTTCCTATCTGAGTGGAACACACATGTTTTTTCTCTCTCTGTCTCCTAAGCTTTTTGAGCCCCGACCTAGCTTTTCTGTTCAAACAATCCTCAGTTTCATATGTCGATCTCAGTCCACAGGGCAGAACTAAAACTTTCTGACTCATTTGCCTGTTGTTGTTACTTGAGTGAGGCAGGCTGGTAAATGTGGTTCTTCAGCGTGTGTTTGTGAAGCACATTTGCAAATGATGTCACAGACACAGTGCCAAATTTGGTCTGTTTTTCTGGCCAACAGAGCTGCAGGTGAAGTCAGACTGCTGGGGCCATGTACGGCTCTGACGCAGTGCACAAAGGTGCAGATGGAAAATCACTCAGCACATACTAGGAGTTGTTTTTACTTACAATGTCAGACTTAAACCATTCCCTCATGATTTCTTAAGAACAAGGTCTTTAAATAGAACAGCAGGGTATCCATTTTAGTGGAGTCAGTTCTTTCTCATTGTGTAAACACCGATAAAGGATGTCATATCAGCATTAGACTTCTAAATACTTGGCCTCTGCCCACACTGTTTTAAATGTCAGTATTATCACTTGCATCATGTAGAGCTTGTCACACTTTCATAAAAAGAAAAACATGGATAGAGGAAAAAGCAAAGTATTGTCCTGTGGATTACACAGTTGCAGGAACCAACAAGCCAGGCCTCGGTCATTTGCTTCCATAAAAGGACAGAATGTTGGCCACTATATTAAATTGGAAAGACCTATTGGTGCACGTACACACTATCCCCTGGTTGATGATTGCTACATGGGCCTTATCGAGGAGTTGAGCTAAAGACAGAGGAAGTGGTTAGCACAGTGTGAGCTTCCTGTTGGGTTTCAGAGGGTTGATGCCGATGAGGTATTCCCCAGCTCAGAGAGAAGGATCTGAGATGAGGGTGATGGAGGAGAGTGACCCACATGGTTGAGGTGTAGAGGGCTGCTTCCAGGCGATCTGAGGTCAGAGGAATTGGTAGGAGAAGCCATAACAAAGCCTTTCTTTGCCACCTGCAGTTCAATTTGTAACTGGCTTCTCTGTGGCACCTCATTAACTCTGCAGTATTAGAACAGTTAGTCAGGCAGAAGTTGGCTTTGTGGGCTGAGGGCTGTGCCTAGATAAACAGCAGGAAGTGCTGGCCAGGCTCTACTGACTAACAAGCTGAATATAGTCTACTGTGCCTCTTCAGATGGTCATGACCTGACTTTGTTGCTGCAGCACAGCTGGGGCTGTACAAGTTTGTCTGGTCATTTGCTTTGTTCTGTGTGTGTGTTTTCATGTTTCCCACATTTATGCTCCTAAAGACATTTGAATGGGCTCATGGCTTCTGATGAAGTAACAAAATTAAATGTTGTGCCGAAGAAGTTTAGAAAATTACCCAGCCGCCTCAACTTTTACTTCCTCAATTTTTATGATGTGCTTGTAATGTGAGATGAATCACACCAAACTACACCCAAGTCCTCCTCCAGTCCGCTGCCCGCGCTGGCACCACACCCTGTCTAGCACCTCCCGCCAGCTACAGTGACTCGTCATCCACAAATACTAACCACGGTGCCAAGTGCAAGTATATGATCTCCAATCAGCGCTCGCCCAGGTACGGCTTTGTTTACTATAAGGACGAGCTCGTTTAACTCCTAGTGCATGCAGCTGCATGTTGGCGGACCCCCTCCCCTCACGTAAGAAACCTTCCAGATCAAGTGTCAGTTTTTCCCGCCTCCCTCACTCTTTTACACATGCACACACGCCTCCTCTCATCTACCCTGAAGCACAGTGATAGTAGGCGGGACACACATAGGGGAAGGCTGAAACCTAAGGTTTTGTATGTTTTACTGGGCTCTAGAAAGCAGCCGCCACAAGTAGCAGCAAGCTTCCCCAGACTTTGAACAGAGACAGAGCGCCATCTGGAAGCAGCGATGCATCACTGCAGCTCATAACAACAAACTGTAGCACTGAATTCTTTACTGGGGTGTTGGTGTGGTGTTGTTGGTGAGCAAATGGAATCAAGTGACATTAAGGAAAAATCCTCTCTCAAGGAACTTATTGGTGACATTTTTAGGTATTTTACTGATGTGGTGGTGTTTCTGTTCTTGTAGATAACTGGCCAAATGTAACGAAATCCATCACAGACAACACCCACAGCAGCAGAAAAATAGACCACAGGACAATGCTACTGCAGGAGAATTTGTAATTTGAATACAGGGTGTGGTTGCAATCAAAGAGACTCATTTATCCTACAGCAGTAAAGTTCAGGATTTAATCGCTCCATTCCTGACAAAGTCTAATATCAGTAATGTACTGTGGTCTTCAGCTAAAACAAAAATATACTGTAATTATAGAACTGGCAAGGAGAATCTGTGGAAGCCCCTGCTGAATTGTTTACACTAGTATTTAAATGAGTCAGCATGAGACAAAAGCCAGAAGAATGGAAGTACAAAACGACTGCTAATGATCCAGTCATCTCCGCCTAATTGTGTGCTGCTCATGCAAAATATCTGGCTGCCATCAGCAGAGGAAATGCTCTCAGTAGCAGTTTATTAGGTTGTAGTTTTAACAGAAACTGGCCATTATAACCTTCAGGAAAGTAGGATTTATCGCAGGGCTGACTGAGAGCAGCACCACCCACAGCCTTAGGAACCAGTCTGGCTACAGTTTATTTTTTTTTCTGTTTACTTAAAATCTGGTGGTAAGATTTTACAAGTTCAAAAATGATCACTCTTAAATCCAGGCCTTTTGTAGTTCTGAAATTTTCACTTTGATCCAGTTTTTGCACTTGAAATAAATAAATTTCCCTTCTTTACGTCTGTGTCAGTGTCTGGTCAGTGTCTGGTCAGTTTTCTTTTTATTAATGGGACTGAAGATTGTGTTGAAAAAATGCTTTTAAAACGGAGCATCTTTGGCACAAAGCCTGTCATTTGTCAGTGAAAACATGTCACATGCTTTGCATAAAGCCATGATCAGTTAGAGAAGAGAAGCTGTGTATGAGCTTATGTGTTCACGTGTTTATGTGCCCTATCCATTACTGAACAAACTTTCCAATGTCTCTCCAGGAGACCAAGGACCCCTCTGCTGTGTTGTGGCTCGATGAGATCCAGGATGGTATTCTGAAGGCTAACCAGGATACAAAGGAAGCCTTACAGTGTAAGAATACACACATTTATGCTACACTTTCCTCAGCCATTTTAATGTGCAAGGTTTGGAGTGTACAAAGAAGGCTGAATACTGATATTTGTTGTGCCTGCAGTCTCCCAGACCATCCAGGCCATCAATGAGGCGGTGGACAGTGGCGATGCAGCTCAGACTCTGGCTGCTCTTCGTAACCCTGGGGCAGGACTGTATGGTGTCACCTCTGAGTGTGCCCAGACCTACCAGGACGACTTGGCCAAGATTAAAGAGGAGAAAAAGAAAGAAGGTGCGGAGAAACTGCAGGGATAAAGCATGAATTTTATCATAGCTTAGTAGCTAATGCCACTAGATGCCAATAATGTCCCATTCTGGAGAAACTTGGAGCAGTGATGCCTCTTCACTGGATCCCTGTGTTTTTAAGGTCACATTGATTGGCCTGGTGAGGATATTGTAATTTGCTCTCCTGACTTCACAAAATGCACCATCCTCCTTCTTCATGTGATTTCCAGAAGAGAAAGGTCCAGTTATGTAGTGAAAAATAATTTCATTCTCTTGCATTCTGTGATGGTGTTTGTCCAGGTGATAATGGTAGTGTCTGGGTGAAACACTGGGTAAAGGGAGGACACAACTACTACTACAATCTGAAAAGCAAGGAGGGTACATGGGTGGAGCCACAGGACTTCCTGCAGAACAACACCCAGCTCAACAAGGAGGACATCCAGGTAGGCTGCAGTCCCAGTCGAGCCCAGGGTCGTAGCTTTTCACCGCCACGCTAAACTGGTTGCTTTATTCTCCCTGTCAGTCGGTAGTTTCCGGGGTAACCACAGCCTACAACCGAGAGCAGCTGTGGTTGGCCAATGAGACCTTAATTACCAAACTGCAAGCTCATTGCCGTGGCTACCTGGTGAGGAACGGACTAAAGGAGAGGATGAACTTCCTGAAATCTCAAGAGCCAGCTGTCACGTGTATACAGGTGAGCGAGGATGATGTGCAACTATCATACCATCTGTCTGCTGTACGAACTTATTCTTGTAGTGTCAGGTCTCACTGATGCCTAACCTTTGTTCTCAGGCCCACTGGAAAGGCTACCAGCAAAGGAAGAAGTTCAAAGACCGTAAGCAGTATTTGGAAGACCACAGTGAAGATGTTGTCAAGGTGAAGATTTTAGGCTATTCCAGTCATCTGTTTTAGTAGTAGTATAAACACAGTTAAGACTAAAGGAATTGCTTTTGTCTTTCTCAGATCCAGTCCATGGTTCGCATGCACCAAGCTCGTAAGAAGTATAGGGATCGTCTAAAGTACTTCCAAGATCACGTGAGTATTCGTACTCTAAGCCTTGTTAAACAAGATTAGCTGCAAACTGGGTTTTGGGAGAGGGCATTGTAAATGTTCTGTCTGTTGTGCTTACACTTAACAAAATGCTTGTTACTTAATGAAAGCTTTAAATCATGACATAAATTTCCCCTGACGCGTCTGCTGACATTTACTCTGGGTCCCGTGGGGCTCGAGGGAGGCAGATGGCTCATTTAGCACTCTGACAAGTGTGAAGTCGTTTCCACTCTGACTCACAGTGGATTCCTCTGCTACTGTCTATAATGAGGGCTATCGATTGGGCAAGTGATTGCTGTTTTATATTGCAGATCAATGATGTGGTGAAGATTCAGGCTTTCATTAGAGCCAACAAGGCCAGGGATGACTACAAGACGTTGAGTAAGTAGGACCCAGACTGAGCTCAAACAAACGTTCTTATTTTTTTGTCTTTTAACTTTCCCATCTCTCCAATCTTTCAACACATAGTCAGTGCTGAAGACCCTCCAATGGCGGTGGTGAGGAAATTTGTCCACCTGCTGGACCACAGTGACCAGGACTTCCAGGAGGAGCTGGAACTGATGAGGCTCCGTGAGGAGGTGGTCACCAACATTCGCTCTAACCAGCAGTTGGAGAACGACCTGAACCTGATGGACATCAAGATCGGTCTGCTGGTGAAGAACAAGATCACGCTGCAGGAGGTGGTGTCCCACAGCAAGAAGCTGACCAAGAAGAATAAAGGCCAGCTGTCTGACATGATGATGATGAACAAGCAGAGGGGAGGCCTGAAGGCTCTCAGCAAGGAGAAGAGGGTCAAACTGGAAGCCTACCAGCACCTGTTTTACCTGTTACAGGTAACAATATAGTCTGTCCTTTGATTCTCTCTGTGTTTTAGTCAGAATCAGAATTTGCTGCAGGTGACACTGCTAGAAAGCACTTTGCCTGTAGATACTGAATTGAAGATGCTCACGGCTGCAGGTGTCTCACTGGTCTAAACCTCTCTAATAATACTCTATTTAATTTGTATAGCATCAAATCACAACAACAAGTCATCTCAGGACACTTTACAAAGTCAGGTCTAGACCTTACTACTATTATTATTATAGATGGAAAAACCCAACAAACCCCCCCTTGAGCACCAATCGACGGTGTGGTGGAAAAACCCCTACCCCAGCAGTCTAGGCCTATAGCAGCATAACTAAGGGAGGGCTCAGGGTCACCTGATCCAGCCCTAACTATAAGCTTTATCAAAAAGGAACATCTTAAGTTTAATCTTAAAGGTAGAGAGGGTGTCCACCTCCCGAACTGACTGGGAGCTGGTTCGACAGGAGAGGAGCTTGCCTCCCATTCTACTTCTGTGGACTCTAGGAACCACAAGCAGACCTGCACTCTGAGAGCCAAGTGCTCTGTTAGGATGATAAGGCTCTATGAGGTCTTTAAGATATGATGGAGCCTTGTCATTAAGGGCTTTGTAACTACTATACATTTGATGTTTCAGACCAACCCCACATATCTCGCCAAGCTGATCTTCCAGATGCCACAGAATAAATCCACAAAGTTCATGGACTCTGTAATCTTCACCCTGTACAACTACGCCTCCAACCAGCGAGAGGAGTACCTGCTGCTCAAGCTCTTCAAAACTGCCCTGCAGGAAGAGATCAAGTGAGAAAAACTGATAATACTTTATAGTTGCAGTTTTCAATCGGATGAATGCACAGTATAGGTTTTCATGTTGTGTTTAATAACCGTCCGCAGGTCGAAGGTAGACCAGATGAAGGAGATTGTGACAGGAAACCCTACAGTCATCAAGATGGTGGTGAGCTTCCACCGGGGCACTCGGGGCCAGAACGCTCTGAGGCAGATCCTGGCACCGGTTGTCAAAGAGATCATGGATGACAAAACGTTAAACATCAAGACTGACCCGGTGGACATTTATAAAGGCTGGGTGAACCAGATGGAGACGCAGACTGGAGAAGCCAGGTGAGCTAGAGATGAGCTTGTCTTCTTGTACCTGTGTGGTGACAGGTCCCTCTCAAAGGGAACTTCTGTGATTTCACTTATGACACATGTATAGGAAAAACACAGTACAACATCACTACGGAAGCATCGGGGACGATTTTAAAATGCAGCAAAGACCTATATCCAAATAATGATATCATCTTACATAAAGATCTCAGATCAGATTTTCCAGGCGCCTTGTCTTGAATTTATGGAGTTTCTCTGCTTACAGAAAGTCTTGTGTACTCATGTTAAGATCACCTTACTTTGTAGTGGCCTAATATTTATGCTAGTTTTAAAAAAGTCATCAAGTCATTATTGCATGCCGCATTGGAAGATTTTCCTTTTTCAGTATGAGCATTTCTTGAAGGCTTTATGCAGTGATCTCAGTCCAGACATCACAGATCAACACTGATGGTTCCTCTTTTTCTCCTCTTTCTTCCTCTGCTCTGTCCTCAACAGTAAGCTGCCTTATGATGTGACTCCCGAGCAGGCAATGGCCCACGAGGAGGTGAGGACACGACTGGAAGCCTCCATCAAGAACATGAAGACGATCACAGACAAATTCCTGTCTGCTATTGTCGTCTCGGTGGATAAAATTCCGTAAGTTCCTCCCCTACAGCATCACTGTCTGCATGGATCACATTTTTCAGACATCAGAGGCGGCTGGCTCGTTTTTCCCTGCCTACGTCTCTCACTGTCTTTGTGGCTCTTGCCCATCAGGTACGGGATGCGGTTCATCTCCAAGGTGCTCAACGACACCCTCCATGAGAAGTTCCCAGATGCTACAGAGGATGAGCTGCTCAAGGTTTGCATCTTTAATTATGGACTTGATGTTAATGCACCTTTGTCTTTAAATGTTCTGTTAACTTAAATCATAAAAACATATTTTCACTGATCACAGGAAGCTCCAGCCTTGCAGATTAATTCAGTGTGACATAGAAACGTGCCAGATCACTGACACTGACCCCAGTATAGTTTAGGTGGATGGCATTTGATGTGTAATAGTTAACATTACACAGGATGTGGTTATCACTAACTTTCCACCGCATCCTTCCTGTCTATAGAGACAGAGCACTTGCATTCATAGTGTGATAGAAAATACTGATGAAAACTGGCATAGCTCCTCTTCTCTGGTCTCCTCATTGAACTGTTTTCTTCTAATCTTCTGCCTGCTCTCTCTTCTCTGTGTCCCACACATTTCTTTCCTTTTTCTATTCTCCTGCTGTGGCTCTGTTCTTTCCACCTTGCCAACCAGCTCCAGCCTCTCTGTCAGGTTGTCCTCCTTCTCTCTGTCTGCTGACATCAAGGTGAGCCATGCCCCTCCTTTGGCTCTCCTCTTCCTGCACAAGCTGTGTCCTTTCATGCTCAACATCCATTGCACATTTTGCAGCAGCATCGTTTAAACCAGGAATCTTAACTCAGAATATAAAATTTACAGTTGTTTTCACAACAAATGCAGTTTCTAAACAAATATAAAATGAAAATAATTGTAGTTTCATGCTTGCTTTCCCTATTTATTTTTATTGATTTGAAGTCAGTTCTACAAATACTAGCATTATGCTGATGGCTGTATCACACAGCGTTTTTGAATACAAGTTTGTTTCTGTCTGAACAGTTTAATAAATTATTAGTTGATCATGTTGATGTATTTTTCTCAGATAATTTCTTTCCACTTTATGAGCTTCCCTATCCTAATGCCACTTATAGTTTTCATCCTTAAAAAGGCTCATATGCATAGCGAATATGTCACATTTCCTGATCATGGTCATTATTTTTCTGACTGACTCATCTGATTTGACTTCTCAGATTGTGGGGAACCTCTTGTATTACCGCTACATGAATCCGGCCATCGTGGCTCCGGATGCCTTTGATATCATTGAGGTGTCGGCGGGTGGCCAACTGACCACTGAGCAGCGACGAAACCTGGGCTCTGTCGCCAAAATGCTGCAGCACGCTGCCTCCAACAAGATGTTTCTGGGAGATAATGCCCACCTCAATCCCATCAATGAATATCTGAGCGCCTCTCATCAGAAGTTCAGGTTAGATGTTAATTGTGGCAGAAATGTAAAGCTGATGTTCAGTAGAATGAGTGGAAGTAGAGGCATTCATTTACTTCAGGATGTTCCAGTTTCCCCTCAGTTTCTTGACTTTTTCCTGCTGTGTTTATAATCTGAAGGTCTTTGCTTGGCTCATCTGACTTTATTCTTCCATTGCAGGCGTTTCTTCCTCGCAGCGTGCGACGTTCCCTCACTGGAAGATAAATTTAATGTGGATCAGTACTCTGACTTGGTCACTGTCACCAAACCTGTCATCTACATCTCCATTGGAGAAATTATCAACACTCACACGGTGAGTTTGAACTTGGACCACTCCCACTCCATGTTAAAGGGCACATACTAAAACATATATTCTTCTCAGTTAGTGCTATGAGTAACTGACTGGCTTCTTCTGTCCTGTTAGCTGCTGCTGGACCATCAGGACGCCATCGCTCCAGAGCACAATGACCCAATCCATGAGCTGCTAGAGGACCTGGGCGAGGTTCCCACTATAGAGTCCCTCATTGGTGAGTGGAGTGAAGTAGGACAGACTTAATCACTAACAACAGTGACAAAGTCATGAGCCAAACTAGGATCAAACCTGGTCCCGAAATTTAGAAGCAGGCTGAGAATATGACCTCTTTTGGTACCTCTTGGATTAATTTACACTGATGGAGGAGGTAGCAGGTTGTGTTGTTTTCACATCTTTTCTCCCAACCGCATCATCCTCTTGGTGCCACATGCTGTGCACCAAATGGTCACTCAGTTTTACTGGCCCAAAGAAATGCTGGGTGAAATATTGTAATCACATGAATGCTTAACAACTCCACAATGGCTAAATAAAAGTTACAATGTGGAAAAGAATTGGCTCATGAATTTCTAACTTTGCCTTAACAGGCTACAAATGAAATGGTAATTAATAACAGACTCTATTGAGAATCTATTGAGCTGTTATTTCAGCTGATTTGCCATGTGACACTCAGGTGAAAACCCTCTCCCTCCTGATGACCCCAGCAAAGAGCTGATGGGGAAGACTGAGGTTTCACTTACACTCACCAACAAGTTTGATGTCCCTGGTGAGGCCAACGCGGAGATGGACGCCAAGACTCTCTTGCTCAAGTAAGTGCAGTCTGTAGAATCAACAAAAAAAAGTTAACATGGTTGTTTGTTAGTTTTGTTTCATACATTTCTCCTCCTTTTCTCTGTTTCCAGTACCAAGAGGCTCATTGTGGATGTGATCCGGTTCCAGCCCGGGGAGACACTGACTGAGATCCTGGACTTGACAGCCAGCCCAGAACAGGTCAGAAATCAGATACAGTGCACTGCTGATGCTGCGGACCCACAATTTAAAAAAAACACAGTGCTGTGTTAATGTGATGAACATCAGTAATTTGAAGCAGTAATTACTGTAAACAAACCAGAATCTCACCAGAAGGTCATTCTCTGTTTCTAGACTGCACAGGCTTACTTTATTTTGTAGGGGTGAAATGCTCGTGAATTTACATTTACAGCCTTTTTGGTAATGCCTTCTTTCCAACAGAAACAGTTGCATTTATGGGAAATTTAAAGTAATACTCTAACAAGTAATAGCAGACAGTATTACAGGTATTGTTTGTCCTAATCATAGTAAATATACTGCATTATGAAAATTTACAGTCTTGCAGTAATTATATTATTTTTAGGTTGAAGTTTGATCAGTGCAAACAAACATGACTGCACCTGTGATTTTCAGTGAGAAACGGCTTTCTCAGTTATAGCCCGGAGTGTATGTTATGAAACATGGCTCCACATACTGAGGAATTGTCCAAACAAGCAAGAAACCAAGTTGTTAGACTTCATAAAGCCACTGAACATCAGCTGAACCACAGTTGCAGCAGTGGTTAGGTGGTACAGGAAGAGACATACTACCAGAAACAGAATGAGCAGTGGTCGGCCTCAATAATGACGCACTGCACAATTTACTGTTTGCTTAACCTGCCATTGAAAAGCAGACAGTAAATGTTTCTGACTTGGCATGAGGATTATCTGTGGAAACTGGTGTTTCAGTAACTGATCAGGCAAAAGGAAGGACACTGCATGAAGTCAACTTGTGACTGCACAGTGACAAAACATGTACTGTAGGTGGGAGTGTGCTGATGTTGGGCTGCATGAGTGCAAAAGTTGTCAAGGAGATGACGTAAAGTTGGCACAGTGATCATCATCTGTGAAGAAGGGTAGAACATCTCTTCAGATGTGTGCAAGACTGCTGTCATCCATGCCCAGGAGGATCCATCCTGTCATCAAAAATTAAAGTGAACAGTGGCAAGAAAAAGTCATGGCACTGTTTGCAGTTTCCTGCTTTTCTGCATAAATTGGTCATGAAATGTGATCAGATCGTCAACAAACACAATATTTCTAAGCTGATAAAATACAAACAGTCCTGATCTTTCATGTCTTTATTGAGCACACCCATTAAACCCACAAAGTCATGGCAACACGAGGCATCTGATATTACTAAACATCAACTGGAGTCAGGTGTTGGCAAACATGGAGTCCAGTGAAACGAGGAGGAGGTGTGGTTTAGAACAAACTTGACCTATAATGCAGCAGGACAATCACCTTAAACATCAGAGTAAATCTACTACAGAATGGCTTGAGATAGAGAGAATCCACCCTTTGGAGCGGCCCGGTCAGAGCCCAGACCTCCACCCAACACACTGTGGAATGACCTCAAGACATTCACACCAGGGCTCCTAAGAATTTGGCTAAGCTGAAGCAGCTCTGTCAGGCCCAAAACTCCTCCTGAATGTTGTGCAGGTCTGATCCACAGCTACGGGAAGCACTGGCTGGAGGTTGTTGCAGCCAAAGGTGGTTCAACCAGTTATTAAAAACACTGTTACCATGACTCTGTCCACCATCACTTTGTGTGTTTAATGGGTGTGTTCAACATAAACATGAAAGATCAGGACTGTTTGTGTTTTATCATCTTAGAAATATTGGGCTTGTTGATGTTTGTGTCTTTGGTGAAGAGCAGATCACATTTCATGACCAATTTATGCAGAAAACCAGGAAATTGCAAATAGTGTCATTAGTTTTTCTTTTGACTGTATTAAACATCAGAGTGGACTCCCACTAATTAAAGGTTACTGACTTGTGTTTCAGCTGTTTCTTAAATATGGGCTGTCATCATAGTTTTAGTCCAACACTTGTTTTTTAAATGAATTGGTTTCATTATACTTGAACTTCAGCTAAAGCCAAATAAATGCACAGAATTTGGAATTAATGATAATCACTTTATTTGGCCAAGTATGTTACACACAAGGAATTCTTTGGTACAGAACCGAGGCAGCCATCTGTGGCGCCAACTCACACACATACACACACACTGATGGTTGTACTGTCCCTGCAGGATGCTTTGACGTGTGGACTGCAGGCACCGGGAATCGAGCATTAAGCATAAACTTTATTGCCAAGTATTATCAAGAATACAAGGACTCCTGCCCAATGGCCCCCCCACAAAGTCATGGCAACACGAGGCATCTGATATTACTAAACATCAACTGGAGTCAGGTGTTGGCAAACATGGAGTCCAGTGAAACGAGGAGGAGGTGTGGTTTAGAACAAACTTGACCTATAATGCAGCAGGACAATCACCTTAAACATCAGAGTAAATCTACTACAGAATGGCTTGAGATAGAGAGAATCCACCCTTTGGAGCGGCCCGGTCAGAGCCCAGACCTCCACCCAACACACTGTGGAATGACCTCAAGACATTCACACCAGGGCTCCTAAGAATTTGGCTAAGCTGAAGCAGCTCTGTCAGGCCCAAAACTCCTCCTGAATGTTGTGCAGGTCTGATCCACAGCTACGGGAAGCACTGGCTGGAGGTTGTTGCAGCCAAAGGTGGTTCAACCAGTTATTAAAAACACTGTTACCATGACTCTGTCCACCATCACTTTGTGTGTTTAATGGGTGTGTTCAACATAAACATGAAAGATCAGGACTGTTTGTGTTTTATCATCTTAGAAATATTGGGCTTGTTGATGTTTGTGTCTTTGGTGAAGAGCAGATCACATTTCATGACCAATTTATGCAGAAAACCAGGAAATTGCAAATAGTGTCATTAGTTTTTCTTTTGACTGTATTAAACATCAGAGTGGACTCCCACTAATTAAAGGTTACTGACTTGTGTTTCAGCTGTTTCTTAAATATGGGCTGTCATCATAGTTTTAGTCCAACACTTGTTTTTTAAATGAATTGGTTTCATTATACTTGAACTTCAGCTAAAGCCAAATAAATGCACAGAATTTGGAATTAATGATAATCACTTTATTTGGCCAAGTATGTTACACACAAGGAATTCTTTGGTACAGAACCGAGGCAGCCATCTGTGGCGCCAACTCACACACATACACACACACTGATGGTTGTACTGTCCCTGCAGGATGCTTTGACGTGTGGACTGCAGGCACCGGGAATCGAGCATTAAGCATAAACTTTATTGCCAAGTATTATCAAGAATACAAGGACTCCTGCCCAATGGCCCCCAGTGTGCACAGCAATATAAAATCACAAGAAAAAAAAAGACAAAAATGTGCACACATGCATATATACAAGTTAAAAGAGCTGCTGTAGCTAATGTACATCTGTGCATTGTTGTACAGTGGGGTGTACAGTGTTCTGCCATACCCTTAAACATGGACTTACTGTCCATCAGAGCGATGACCTGGTGTAAGAAACCGTCCTTGTGTCTGGATGTCTTGGCGTACAGTGACCTGTAACGCCGTCCAGAGGGAGGAGTTCAAACAGTTTGTGTCAAGGGTGTGAGGGGTTTGCAGTGATCCTCTTCGCCCTCCTTTTGGCCCGTGATGTGTACAGGTCCTCCATGGAGGGCAGGCTGGCACCAATGGCTCTTTCTGCAGTCCCGACTGTTCGCTGGAGTCTGTTCCTGTCCTGTTTGGTTGCTGAGCCAAACCAGACAGTGATGGAAGTTACTTAACATTCTAGTGATGTTGACCAGGGATGTTCTCAGTTTTGTTGTATACTTTGCTACACAAGCTAAATGCTTTAAGAAGACATCAGAAATTTCCTTCCAAACAGGACACTGAGGAAAGAACCTCAAAATGAAACCAATTAACTTCACGTACACTAAACAGCTCTTCAACTTAATGTTTAATTTCCTGAATTTCATTGCCATTTTATCCCATTAGCTTCAAATAGAAATATTGTTAATGTAAGTCTATCTATCATCTGCCTTGTTTCCCTGTGTGACAGGAAACAGAGTACCAGCGGGCCATGCAGAGGAGGGCCATCCGAGATGCCAAGACTCCAGAGAAGATGAAGCAGGTCAAACCTGTTGTGGATGACAGCCTGACACTGCAGGGCAAGAAGGACAAGATCAAGAGCAACCTACAGAGACTGGCAGAGCTGGGAAAGGTTCACCCCGAGAACCGCTATCAGGATCTCATCAACGACATAGCCAAGGTAAAAGATAGAGTATTACTGCAGCAGAAATGCAGAAAATAACAGTATCCACTGTGCTTTACTTAAAACTGCTGGGTTTATGTGTATGTTACAGGATATCAGAAATCAGAGACGGTATCGGCAGCGTAGGAAAGCCGAACTGGTGAAGCTTCAGCAGACCAACGCAGCGCTGAATTCCAAGACCAATTTTTACAATGTGCAGATTGATTCTTATAATCAGTATATCAAGACGTGCATGGACAACCTGGCCAGAAAGGGAAAGTGAGTGGCCTGCACTCACAAAACACATCATATCTGTAATTTATCACATAACCGTAATCACAGAGACATGGACTGTGGGCCCCATCTTCACACTGCAGCATACAGGTTACAGACAGTTTTGGCTGCCTCGTTAAATGTGAGCTACATAGAAGAACTGTTTAGAATCAGAATCAGCTTTATTGGCCAGGTGTGTCGGACACACGAGGAATTTGACTCTGGTACATCGGCTCTCAATGTGCATGTACATATCCCCATGCAAGGGGCAAGTAAACAGGAGACCAGCATAAGGCTGTGTAATATAACAAAATAAGCATTATTTACAAGCAACAAACAGTGCAAACAATGCAAAATAAGCAGTATAAACAGGCAGAAGCACAACCTGTGAGCAACCATCTGCATGGTGCACAAGCTGGAGGGCTAGCTGGAGTTGGGCTCAGTGTTTAGATTCCCGACTTAGGTCTGGAGGGTTGTGGAGGTCAGTGGGAGAGGCCTGTAGTATGAGGAGGGCTCCATTACAACACTACCCCTTCCTTTTTCTCTTGGGCAAATTACTGGTAGCAACAACGGCATCATAAATCTGTTAACTGTACATATAGATATAAGATTTATTCTTAGCAGAATGGATGAGCCTCAGTGCTTAAAATATCACATACAATGTCCTTTCCCTGTTCATTTGAATTGTGCCATGTGTGGGAAAAAATTGGCAGCAACTCACAATGTTGCTGCTCAGACACCTGCTGCTTTTGATTTTGGAGGTCTCATCAGGGGCTGTTGTACTCCAGGAGTGCAGAAGTGAAACTGTTTATTGTCTAGTCACATACATGTGAAACAGATCCATAGCTGGCAGTGTATTTATTAAAAAGCTGCTGTGTGTACTTCTCAGTAAACACCCAAGATAAATACTTGACAACAGCCAGAATAGGCCTACATGGTTTGTTCATTTTCTTAGTGTCAAGAGCAATCCAAGTTTCCCAAACATGTTGAAGAATAAGAATCCATCTCTTCCTATTACAAGTGCAGTATTCAGTCTTTCCACAAAAGCTACATAGAAGTATTTCTAAAAGCTGAATGATGCAGTTCAGGTTTGAAACAGTGAGACTTGAGGAATCATTAATACCAAGTGATACTAGCTTGTCTTTCTCTCTCCTCAGACTGTCAAAGAAACCCGGCGACAACAAGGCCAAGAAGAGTAAACAGGTTTCACAGAAATACACCGCCTCTCGCCTCCGCGAGAAAGGTGTGCTGATTGCGATTGATGATCTGCAGCCCAACCAGTGAGTTCTGCTGCACAGTGCACTGACACTTTCCATGCTCTGAATAAGATGTTTGTAAGACGATTAGTTTATTTTTGAGACAAACTGTGAATGCCACAGACCTCTGCAGTATTTAATCTTTCTTTGAAACTTCATCTTAATTGGCTGCTGAGAAGAAATTATAATAATAATGAGCTTTATTTATAGACCATATTTCAAAGCGCAGTTTCAAAGTACTTTATAATAAAAAAAATCACCATGAATAAGAATGCAATACAAATGAGGCACAAATAGGAACACACAACTTAAAAAGTAAATAAAACAGCCCCAGAAAAGCAGCGCTAAACAATGAGGTTTTAAAAGGGATGTAAAAGATGAAAGAGAGTTTGCAGCCCTCGTCTCCTCGGGCAAGTCATTCCAGGCTCTGTCACCTTTGTGTCCAAGAACAAAGACAAGAGAGGCCTCTGAGGTTCTCAAGGCGTGGGAGGGGACATGAAGCAACAAAAGGTCAGACACATAACCTGGAGCAAAAGCTCTCTGGGCTTTAGAAGTAAGCAGCTGACTGGAGTAGGTAGCAGAGCGACAGGTAGGCAAACCAGCATAGGTGAAATGTGATCAGGTCTCTTTGCACCAGTTAACATCGCAGCACCTGAGTTTTGGATGAGCTTGAAACAGGTCAGATGTTTTTATTGATGCCAGAGAGCAGGGAGTTACAGGAACCTGCACTCAGTGCAGGTTAATAACCAGTGAACTTCCACTGATTAGTGTCCTGTTTGTGTCCTTTCACCAAACGTATGAACATTCTGTTTATTCTTCTGTCTTCACAGATTCAAGAATGTTATTTTTGAGATTTCTCCATCCGAGACCGTAGGAGTGTTTGATGTGAAGGCCAAGTTAATGGGTGTGCATTTGGAGACATTACAGCTAGAGTATCAGGTATTATGTCTTTTCATAAAACAAGTCACAGCTTTCCTTCCAAGAACTTGGACAGTGAATTTTGGTAGTTATCACAGAGACTGTGATCTGTCACTGTGTCTGAACCTTTCTGTTTGTCTCTCAGGATCTGCTCCAGCTGCAGTATGAAGGCGTGGCGGTGATGAAGCTCTTTGACAGGGCCACCATCAATGTCAACCTGCTCATTTTCCTGCTCAACAAGAAATTTTATGGGAAATAGAAAAAGAGCGGAGGAAAGGGCTACAGACACTGATGTAACCACAAAACCCACCGAGGGTTGCACAAAGCCCTGACCTGAACCTACACATTCCCAACTGCACTTCTCTAATGTGCCTATGCAAAGTTATGCGCATTATTCTTTATTATGTTTGTGCTTTATTCTTAATGGAACAGTCCGTTGTGTGACTCGAGTGAGCACACCGCAGAAACTTGCTGGAGTCTTCTCTTTCTGTCTTGTTTGTAGCTGCAGCTCAGTCAGAGGTTTAAGATTTGTATTTTTGCTTTAAATATTATGAACATATTGTGCATGGGCTTTGAGTAGTTATAAAAATGTATGGTTTATGTAAAGAGATCATGTTGTATATCCATCTTAGCTCATAGATGATCTGCTCTTTTGACTGATTAACATCTCCTATGCCAAGTGCCAGTGTACTTTTCAGCAGGGCTGTAGTGCATGAAGACAGCATTGTGCAGGTCCTGACTCGGTCTTGGACTCAACAGCTCTGTCTCCTCTGGGATACTTTTGTGTTGCTGCTTGAGATGAATTAAAATGAAAAGCTTAACATTATGGAGAAATAAACAAACTCCTCCTTCCCTCTTCACTGTAGTTCATTTTGAAAACATTGCAGTATTTTTCACATATTTGAATATGATTTAGCTTTTCCTATCTCTCTCTAATTTGGACTTGACGCATCTCAGCCCCCTGCCAAATGAACACACAAGCATTCTGATGCCAATACAAAGAGACGTATTTTAAAAGAAATGCAAACCTGTGTTGGTCTTACTGAGCTATTGAACTCAAAACATGGATTTTTTAAATATACATAAGTTTTAGAATTTGTTTCATGACAACTTCGCATCACAACACTCCAGACCAGTCTGGACTGGACTGAGCTGGCCATGACTACAGCCCTGGTGCTCAGAACTGACCTGCACTGTTTTTTGCTTTTGGCTCTGACACAGTAGAAGGAATGTGGCACTTCTGTGCTAATAGCACACAGAGCTGTGCAGGTGTCCTTATCTATTGGCTTTCTCAGATGGCTTACTGGAAATTCAATTTTTTAAGTCTCTTTCATGGTTTATTTTTTATCTTGTATAGGCAAAACCGGTTATAGTTACAGTACATAGCAAAATCAGTTTGGTAAATGTAACATGTCCATCTGTAAAACATAAGATGGGACGCATAAGCAGGACATTGAATGCAGAGATTTTTGTTTTGTTGAAAATTATTCAGTAAAATTCCCCTTATTTATAGTTTTTGTTGTTTAGTCAATGTGATATCGTAGCTAATGTCACTGAGCTTGAGGATGTGCAGTATAAGTCACTAGACTTGTGGGTCCAGTAGATGTCACTCTAAACCATCCACTTTTTTTGTCAGTTAGGTTGAGGCTCCACACAGACTTGTTGAACTAGATGTTTGTCTTGTGTAAAGTTTCCATGATCGCATGTTGACACTGTTCTTTGAAATGGAGGAGACTGGGCTCTCTGTACGTTATGGGCTCTCAATCATTCTGTCAGATGAATTTGACCTGTTTTATAATAAAGCTTTACAGATCCAGTGTTTTCCCTAATCTCACAGTTATGCAATCAGTGGTTGGTTAGTATAATACCTAAGTAAAAGTACTTAAGCACAATTTAAAGAATTTTCCTGAGTATTTCATTTTGTTACTTTTTCTCCATGACTTTACAGATACAGATACCAGTTACAGAAGATTTGACTAGTTTTATAAAATGTGATGCATTGTTAGATTTGTCAACCAACAAAGTATGATGTAGTTCAAATTATCTTTCTCTGACCATCAACCTTAAAATGCTGCCTTTATCTTAAACCGTTAGTAATCATAATGAAATACAGTAAATGTTTTACATAATATAACAGGTGCCATTCTGCTGCATAATGAATATTTAACTATATTATCTAAAGTACATTTTGCTGATAATACTTGCAGACTTTTACTTGTAGTACTGCTGCTTTTTACTTCTAAGTACAGATAAGACTTGATTTCCCAGTTGAAAAGCCACGTTACAGCTACACAGACGGGTTAAAAGGAAGGAAAAGGCCTGCTGTTCAGAAAGAATAAAAGAAACTAAAAGGCAATAGTTATATAAACATATAAAGGGTATAAAAACATATATTAGCTAATCTTGCAAATATTCATGCAAGAGAGCCCAATAGGTTAGCACTGTCACCTCATAGCAAGAACGTTCCGGTTCTGAGCTCGGGCTGACTCGGGGGGGTGGGCTTTCTATACAGATTCTGCATGTTCTCCCTGCGCCTGTGTGGGTTCTCTCTGGGTACCCCAGCTTCCTCCCACAATCTTAGGTTGACTGGTGACACTAAATTGCTCCTAGGAGTGGGTGTGAGTGTTTGTCTCTAAGTGTCAGCCCTGTGATAGCCTGGCGACCTGTCCAGGGTGGACCCCGCCTCTCGCCCAGTGTCAGCTGGGATTGGCTCCAGACCCCCCGTGACCCTATTCAGGAATAAGCGGTATAGATGATGGATAGAGAGTCTCGTAGTTCAAATCTGGTACTGTAGTCATTATATGGAACTATACTGTATGTAAAGATATGAATAGTAATTTCCAACTAGGCTACACAATAAAACAGAACATTTATACTGTATATGTAACACTACACACTAGTGGCAATACACACAATAGTAATACAGCACTAGTGTGAGGATATAATACCCAGATACAACAATAAAACCATGTGAGTATCATAATGCAGTGTAAAGCGACTGTGTGGGAGACAGTGCAGGCAGTTTGTTATACAGTGCCTTTAACAGTCTGCAGGATTTAGTGAAATCCTACTGGTCCACAGGTGGTGGTGTCCTAAAGGAACGGTCATGGTGCAGAGGGGTTAACCCACTTTGACTTCCTCCAGAGGACTGAAGACTGCTTTTTCTAAAGGACATCTCTCCAGAGTCTGATGCAGAATTTAACCTGCGTCTTGCAGGCCTGCTCAGTAATCCACAAGGTTAATTGATTAATTATGTTATTGTGAATTATTGTTCTACAGCTGAGAGGTATTGAACTCGGGTCATCTACTGAATTGAATACGATACTCTGAAAATGCCTTAGAAGTCTTAAATTTCATTTATCAAGCTCTGAAATATTTTTTTTCTTGCCTGTGGTAGACAGTAACATTAATTATGTTTTAGTTGTTCAGAGACGGTTGCTAGGAAGCTCACTGTTTGGAGTGACTGACGAGTTTGGATTTTAGCAAAAAAAATTTATTTTTCTTTTTAATTAGTTTTTAATTTTCCATCTCTTATCTGGGTCCAGGCATAGATGGATTAAGTGGCACTGTGCCCCTTGGCATTTCTAGTCATTTTAGATTCTTTGTGGTGGTCTTTTAAGCTCAGTAGCCTTCAAACAGAAAATATTGACCCCTCGGTCCCCGGGACCTGTGTCTTGCAGGCCTGCTCAGTAGTCCACAAGGTTAATTGATTAATTATATTATTGTGAATTATTGTTCTACAGCTGGGAGGTATTGACAAAATGTGGTAGAAATATCAATAAATTTACAGACACAGGCCCGTCAGGGGGCCCTTGGGCCTGTTCCTTTGTATGAAGTGACTCATTAAAGTCACAGAGCGCTGTCAAAAAACAAAACAAAAACAATTACTATAAGGACATGAAAAATGACCACAGAAAGACAAAATTACTACAAAGAGATGTAAAATAACCATAAAAAGGCACAAAATTACTTGAAATAGGTGAAAAATTACCATAAGAGGCAAAATGCCCCCCGCCCCCAAACACACATAGGGATATAAACGCAAAAAGACTACACCACCAAGACAGTGGAGGGGTGGAGGCCCTTGAACCTCAGTGCCCAGCGACCCATTGTCTCACAATCCGTCCATGGGCTTTTAAATAAATAATTGTAGGGTTTCTGGTCTGTTTCCCTTTATTATTCGACCAACAGGAGGTTGAATTGGATTCTATGCGCTATTCAAAATGCTTTAAATTTAATTTGGTGAAGACTGTCGAAACCATGATTAAATTCCGGACCGTTCTGAGTATAGAGCAAAGTCATTAGTAATCCCGTGGAGACACATAATCCACTAACTGTCGCCCTCCTGAGGAGAGACCGGGCATCGACGGTGTTTAACGAGGTAATGTTTTTCTCGCAGTAGTAAGAAGAAGTGGATCTGAGTTGATGTTGCGTATCCTGTCTACCTACGGTTAATACGCTGGAAACATTAACAGCTGTTTCTCTGAGAAACTGTGGTTTAGCGGCGACGAAGAAACCACTTTTGTGTCGGCGTTGTTTGTTAATCTTCACGGAGTTTGTCTGAGACCTCTCCTGCCCGTGGATTAACGAAGACTCCAGTTTAAGTGTGAAACTGTGGATTATGCTTCTGCATCACGTGTGAACATTTACCTTTTGGAGGTTGCTTGTTTCCCCGTTTGTGGGTAATGAAACTCAGTTAAGTCTGGATACGAGTAGCAAACACTTGTTGACACAACGGACAGTTTACCGAGCAAAGCTTTGCTAACGTTAGTAGCAACATTTAGCTAAAGAGGCTACCAACTTTCTCCATCTCTCAGTCTATTGGTGTCTGTTGGATGTTGGACGAGGTGAAGTTTGTAAAGTGCGTTTGTCAAAATTGTTAAGATGGCACTGACAGCAGTTCGGTTAACGTAGATAGCTATCTGCAGCTGTTGAAAGCACTTCGCTCGGCTCCAGTGTTATGTTAGCTGTGACAGCTAACGTTATGTTAACGTTAAGTTAGATTCAAACAAGTGGTTCGATGGAAATATGTCAATATGAAGTTATATTAAAACGATTAACTTCGTTTAATTGACGCGTCATTCGTCTCCAAAGTTATTAAAGTTAACTTGCAAGCACGTATAATTTGGAAAGGCTTTCTTTACCCCTCTATCTAAGCACAAGAACACAACTTTTATTAACGTTAGCTTAGCAACGTTAGCCACTAGCTCCGCTTTCAGTAACATACTCAGCTGTCATACCGCAGCCAGTTGACTTGGATTTACTTGCAACCAGACAGTTTTGTTCACTTTGTTTTTAAAACTCTGATGGGTTCCCTGCACGGCTCACTGAGAGACTTTACAAAATAGACTCCCAGCACCGTCTTCCACTTTTTTCCCCAATAGCTTAAGTTGCAAAACTGCGGCCCGCACGATGTCTGGCTCCCCGGGCACAGGTGGCTCAAACCCCAGGAAGTTCAGCGAAAAGATCGCGCTGCACAACCAGAAGCAAGCAGAGGAGACGCGGGCCTTTGAACAGCTGATGACAGACCTCACCGTTTCAAGGGTAAATACACTTGGTTCTCAGTTCACTATTATTTGTCAGTGGTCCTTTGAACTGCATCTACTGACAGATTTCTCCTATTCATCCAGTAGCGACTTCTTGTTTCTCCTCTTAAAGTCATTCAGCAGTGGCAAATCCTGCCTGCTGCAACACCTAATGATGGTCAGTGTAATTAATAACAACAGAGTTCAACCAAGCCTTAACTATCAATGACAAAGAAAATGGCAACAATGTGTTATAAATTTGGTGTGAAATCATTTTCATTTATCACACTGAACATTTTTTTTTTTATCACAGTAAAGAGTGAAACAGGAAATGGGAAAGTAGCTTCTTCTCATTTGCACCACCAGCCAAAAATCCCCCTGGTTGTGTCATTATAAATACAGTCATAGCTGTTAAGATATGAATTTCCTTCATATTGTCATTTTATTGTATTGAATGAATTTGCTGGTGTTAAACCCTGCTGCAGAAAGTGGGACCAGCTCAGATGTTTCATGTCCTCTCAGTCACATACACTTATGCTTGTATGACAGGTGCTGTTATCCATTTGGAGTCCAGGGGTCCCTTTGCAAACTTAGAACTTATGGTATTTGGAGAAACACATCCAATTGTTGAAGCATGATGATTCACAACACTCACATTCACATGCTTTGTGTTGTCATATTTAGGTTTTTTTTAAAACCCAGATAAAATAAATACATCTTACATTTACATTTCCCGTTAATTATATTTAAGTGTATTTCGGACTTCTGAATGAAGCATCAGAGTTCCAGGGGTGGTCAATTTCAGTCCTTGAGGGCCACTGTCCTGCTTGTTTTCCAACTATCCCTGCCTGACCTGCTGCTGATTACCTGGCTCAGGTGTGTTCAACCAGTAAGAAGCTGGAAGGTACCATCTTAGATGAAAGTGGAATTAGGAAAGATAAAGTGAACTGGTATCTTCCAGCAGCAGGTCAGGCAGGGATAGTTGGAAAACAAGCAGGGCAGCGGCCCTCGAGGACTGGAATTGGTCACCACTGATCTTCCGTTCAGAGTTGGTTTTTAGCACCATGTAACTCAGAAACTTTACATGAGGGCAGCAGTTGCTGTCATTATTATTTAATGTGGCAGTAATTATTTTAATTAACAAAAATGTTAAAAAAAGAGAAATTTTAAAAACACATGGTCACAAGTGTCCAAAGTCCAAGGTGACATTTTCAGAGGTATTGTTCTGTCAAACCAGCTGTTCAAAAGTCAAAGATATATCGACAGTAGTATAAAATAGGGAAATGTACAAATTCCTCTCTCTAAAGACACTGGAGCAATCGGTGCTAACATTCTGTGGCTCCAGCTTCTCGTTGTATTTGCTGCTTTTCTTTGTCATCTATCATTGCAAGTTTTGAGGGTTCGGCACAGACAGAACAGGACATTTGAAGATGCCACGTTGAGAACTTGTCAGAACTTGTGATGACTAAAAGGTAATCGGCATATGAATTGATAATAAAAAGTCAATTACAGCCCTAAAAACAAGAAGGATTGATGTTCACCTGATGGCTCAGTGTCAGGTTGGGGAGCTAAATTATGATTAAAGGAGAATATAGTTGGTGTCGATGAAAAGGAGATTGAGAGATGAACACATTTTAAGTGTAGTTTTTTGTGTTCATAATGACTCTTAGCTGTACTGTGCTAGATCAGACTTGGCATTTGGTCACTCACTGAAGACAATTCTTCAGGTCTCCAGTTGCCCATTACCTAATGTTTTTTTGCTATCCTCAGGCCAGGAAGATTGAGCACGTTCACCAACAAATATATGATTTTTCTCTGCAATTATATTGGCTCCGTGAATCTCACATATGGTCAGTTTAGTCAACATGCTTTTTTTAAAAGATGCTATTGCTTTGCTTTTTTTCTCCTCTTCATGAAAATTGCAAACATATACAAATTCCGTGTAATAAAAGTGGTGTCTCCTGGCAGGATATATAGGCCATTTTCAGGTTATTCTCATACCACTGATTCACAGTTCGCTCTTTCTGTGAGAGGGAGAGTCCTTTATGGCCAGTCAAAGAGGATGCGGTTTTGAGGCAACATTGAATGATGTTTGCCATAAGGTATGAACTGCCAGTGACCCCTGTGAGGCAGACGAGCCCAGTCGGTGAGGCCGAGGCAGGCCAGGACACAGGGCATGCTACTAGCAAACAGCTGGAATTAGACATACTGTAGGTGCTCCAACATCTCCACCAGTCACCACTGAATCTGAACACCTAACGCCAACACTGGAGGGAGATTTTTAAACTGGCATTTAGTTATTCTTTTTTTTTTATACACATACATATATACGGTTTTTTCCCCCTTTGTCACAGGTTGAAAACTGAACGTTACTGGACATCAAAGTTTTTCATGAGGATGTGCGTTTGTCTGCGTGTTCCTCTGTTTTGGCTTGCAGGGAGAGTCACAGTCAGACATTCTTTGACCACAGTTAACCGCAATGTTGTAGTCGAGTCACTAAGTCTCAGATGTGAGTCAAGTCTCGAGTCCACAGTGCTTGAGTCAAGTCTGAGTTACCAAAGAATAGTCCAAGTCAAGTCCTTGTTCCAGAGTCTGAGCTATCAAGGTCTGCATTAAACACAACTGGCATACCTCTCACCATTTTAAAGGGAGTTTGCTTACTGTGTGTGTAGCCAAACAAATCCACTTGTAAGTGTACACACACTACTTAGAAGTGACCTGTGAATGTTTTTTTTGTACGCTTTGATGGAAGTCCACTGGAGACAGCATGGTGTGGACAAACGGGTTTTAATGTCAACATCTTATGCCAGATTATTATGGCCTATTACAAAAAAGGTCAGTCCTCATCTCCAACTTCTGAGTCTGAATGGAGTCAAGAATGAAGTCACTCTAGTAATCAACTGAGAATGAAATAGACATTTTGGGTCCCTGGTACATGTTGTATTTGAAGGTCTTGGGTGTGCCTTCTCACGATGTCCTGTCAGACTTGGGTGCGGCTTTGGGCAGTCAAGTTTTTTTTTTTTCACAGTTGTATGTGCTTGCTGTGTCATGAATGTCTTAGCAAGACCATATCTTATTAGTATCTCATCATGGCTTTCAGGTGCAGGGGGAAGGGACAATGCCCACTGTAAAGGTGGTTTTTGCTGCCTCCTTTTTGTTGTTCTGTTTCAGCTGTTTGTTTCTGGCAGTAGACATCCTGCAGCTGCTGATGAACTGAAAAGATGAATAGACACAAACTAGTTTGGGAAAACCTGCTGATAAACAATATAAACCATTGCATAAATTAGTAGAAGGTAGATATATTTAACATGTTACAATAGTTATCGCACACAAACTGCCAAATGTTGAGGCAAAGCATACAGTTTTTAAAATTTCCCTAATTTGTTGTCATATTCAAAATCTCTTTCAAAAGATCTCTGTTTGTTTTCTGTCACTTGAAAAAAAATCCCATAAGGGTCAGTCATTTACATTCAAATTTTGCCCTTTTGGTAGTCCAAGGAAGAAACGCCTCTGTGATTTGCTTATTCGTGATCACAGCTGATGATTGGCTCCGTTTACCTTCCAATGGTAGAATAAGCCGCCTCCTGTTTTTGGCTGGTTTGGAAGCCAAGCCATCCGTTTCCTAAAATGTGTCCCATTAATATGTGTTCCTTATGTTATTATGTATGACAAATAATTGGATGTGTTTGTACAATGCCGCTGTGCTCCATTCAATTTCAGAATTCTGCCTATTGGTGTTTGTTATTATGCTGTTTAGCATACAGGTCTAAATGTCCATGGACAGGAGCTGTGATGTGTGAGAGCAAGAGTAGCTGTTTGTGTTACGGCATTTGAATTGTATACATCCACAGTTAGGTGTGAAGCATTAGCAGAGGCATAGATAACAATGAGCATCAGCAAGTGAGATTTTAGACATTCACAGCTGCAATGTTGTGACTGACGAGGGAGAAGCAAAGGAGCCACACAGCTGATATCTGCTATTATATAAGAAATAATGACAATGGCTGCAAAGAAAAGCCCTAATTGGCACCAGTAGTAAATTTCATCCACACGCTGTTTCTTTACACATTAAGACTGCATGTGCAGAATTCATAACCTCTGATAGCCGTGTGTTTGTTCCCTTTGACTGACAGGTGCAGTTTCAGAAGATCCAGCAGCTTCGTCTATCATCCCAGTCACGGACGCCATACTATGGGGGCTCTCTGCCCAATGTCAACCAGATTAGCAACACCAGTACTGACTTTCAGGTAGAATCTCATTTCAGTCCAACTATACAGCATCGTCACAGGCTTTCAGAATGCTTCAACACATCCATTAGGCAGTCAGCAATTATGTTATGGAATGCTTTTTCATTTACTAAGCTTAGTTTCAGGCTTCTGTGATTAAAAAAAATGCTCAATTCCAAATTTTTAAGATTTAGCCCAGGATACGTATCATTCCAAAATGTCTGATACTGGTAGCGATACCTTGACTTTGATACCAGTTCCTGAATGATACTTTTTTCATTATCAGTTTTATAATGTCAGTTTTAACAAAAGAATATGCATATGCATTTTGGTACAGATCATTAGTTTTATTTTTTCAATTATTTGGCATTTTTGTGCACTTAAAGCAGTTTCATAATATAAAAAATAAACCTATTTACCACAACTTGATGTTCTGTTAACATTATCATCAATAATAAAGATGTAGAAAAGCATTTTTCAGTACTCAATGGTATTTTTGTAATTTGATCAATGCCATAAAAGTTTGCTATCCCGCACTAGTCCAGTACTAGGGATTTTGTGTGCATGGGAAACCAGTAAGTGTGGTGAATTGAATTTTTTACTGGGTGTTCAAACAAAATGTATTACTGCTTTATGTAAATACAAAGGGTTGCACTGTCAGGGGTGTGTTGCTTTAGGTACCAGTAAGTTGATAAAATACTATTTAGGAAGGCAGCATATGTTGTGCATGTGCGCACCATGCGTATTAGTGAAGGAATAGTGTAAAACAACCTTAAAATCATTTCAAGGGGAAATCCATTCATTTACATGTTAACCTGCAAAAGAAACATCCTCTCATTAATTAAAGGGGGCTAGATTGCATCCCTACTTCTCATCTTCTCCATGGCCACGTCTTTAATTTTTTTTTTTTTAATTGAACCAGTCTTTCAGACTCCTGGCAGGAAATTGGAGATGTGCACAAAGAGTGTACCAATGAATAAGACCATTTTGGAGTGGGTTGGGTGTTAATGGGGTATTGTATAGGCCTATGCCTACAATTTTAATATTTAATTTCAGAAAAATTGTTGAAAGACAAATTTTAATTTTTGTGTGTGCTTAAATTGAAATAGTTATGACATCCCGATGATCACATGGACTGCCGACCTCATGGAGGTGCAGTGTTTGCACAGGGTTTAGTAGTATTCCCTACAGACGTCAGTAATTCAGTAGAGAGTAAAAACACTGTTCATGTAAAGTACCGTAATCTACCAGGAACGTGCACTTGCAGCTGTGATGTTCCTGTGTGTTGCAGCAGGGGTTCACCCTCGTTACTGGACGGCCCTGCACCAACACCCCAGCTGTGCCAACGCAGCAGCGCCATTCAAATACAGTAAATGAGGAGGCGGCATTTTTTCACACATCAGTCTGTATGCAGCCTTATAGATAAGCTGCTTTGCTTTGTATGAATGTAGCCAAATGCTTTTTAAGCAAAAGCGTTTGATGCAAAACTAAGCAAGAATGTTTTCTTTAAAACCCTGCTGACCTTGCAATTGCCATCTCCCAAATTCAAGGTCTTGTTGTCATTTAGGGGGTTTTCAAGGCTAATTGTGTTTGACCACACTGACCTAATGTTGTCTGTTCCAACTGTAAAAACAGAAAACTCTGTACTGGACTTTTAGAAGTGCAAACAAGCTTTTCCTCAGTGTTCAATAATTTAGATGAATTTCTGAAGACTGGAAAAAGATGAAATAAGAGATAAGTGCAAGGAGTTCTCAGCATTCCGTGAAGCAGTGCTGCACTGGGCCTGTTGTCAGCTCTTTAAGGAGCAGGCTACACTGGGATACAGAGTGTTCAGGTGAAAGTGCCCTTGTTGCTTCAAAGAATGGCCCTTTGAGGTACTGTGGAGTAGTAATGCCAGCACTGCGGCATTGACGGAAAAGGCCCCACTCACTCACGGTCTATTCACTTTCAGTCCTGGGAACAAAACCCTACAGACTCGAGCCTTCTCGATTCCACTTGATGATAAGCTTTGTTAGCCAAAATTCAATTACTGTAAATGAATGTGGGGTACAAAAAAGTATCCTGCTTGAGTGTACTAAAACTGACAGATTTATTTAAAACCCCAATCTGTAGTTTGTGTGTAGTATTCTCATGATCAGTGTTCAAATGTGGAGTTTATACATGGATATACACGGATTCAGAAGCCATTGAAGGTATTAACAGTGCAGACAGAGCCATAAAAGACTGGGGATTTAAACTTACTGTAAATACAAGTGAAAATGAGTTTCTAATTTCTGTGTACACAAAGCCAAGAAATGTGTTGTTTCTTCTGCATACTCCTGTTACATTCACTCTGAATGATTGAAGCAGTGCTTCTTTGAAAAGGTTGAGTGTCAAATCCGAGTAATTGCAATGGCACTAAAATATGTTTGTTTTATTCCAGTTTTATTGCACAATATGTTGGCATGAGAGCACCTCTTTCCAACTGCTGCAATGCATTCAAACAAGTCTCTTTGAAAGTATTGTCTAAGAAAACACTTTTATTCTGTTATGCATAGAGTAAAAGAGACTATATTCAGTTGCTTCTTCGTTCTCAGAGTGTTGTCAACAGTCCTTCCTGCCAACCTGTGGGAGACTGTGTTGGTGTCTGGTGTGAAAAACCTGTTGCTGTCTCTTTTTCAGGGTGGCTTCCCTTCAGGGTTGGACTCTGTCAGAGGGACTCGCCACCATGGTCTGGTTGAGAGGGTCCATAGGGACCGCAACCGTATCAACTCTCCCCATTGCCGACCCATCGACAAGCACGGACGGCAGATATCCTTCCAAGCCTAAATCACCCACAGTAGGCGATCTCACACACACGCTTCTATGTGATGCAGATGTTGTCTTCATCATGAAAGGTTAATCATCGATGTGGAAGTGGGTGTTATGGCTTCCAGGTGGTTTGTCTGTTGTTTTTTTAATGGTAGTTTGTGTTTATGGTGTGGTTTCAAGTATGATGACACCTGTGTAGGCAGCTGTTGCTGTAGCCTCAGGAACAGAATTAGTCACTATGTTAATTTGAAATGTGATGCCGAGACTGTGTGCTTTACTTTTGCCCGGTGAACACTGACAGTAGGAGTTTCCTAGTATATTCTGAACGCACACTCTGATTGAGTATGCATGTGTGTATTTAGCATAAAGTGCAGCAGATCTGTTTGTTCTAATGGTGATGAAACAGTTCCTGGAACAGTGTTTTTATGTAAACTCTCACCTACACCCTTCAAAATCCATTTCCACAGTCTCCTCACAGCTGAAATGAGTATGAACAGAAAAGCATGTTTTTCTGCTACATTTTGGTTCCAGTTTTGATAGTTTGTTGTCATTGTATTTTGGCTTTCTAAGATTTCACACCAGGTTGTTATATAAACTGTTCCCATTTACAGCTTAGTTATTTGCTATGAATTGTCACCCGTCAGCAATTACATGTGTGATGTGCATCATAATTCAGCACAGGGCACATTAGGTCTGTCAGTTTTTATTCGAATT